GGACTACAAAGGCAAGAAGTGACTGGCTTACAAGCTTTCAAGAGGGAACCCAGATCCAGAGGGCGCAGAAGAAGGTAGAATCTCCAGTGAGTAGTATCTAATCTGTCTGGGCGGGGCTGATGAAGAGAGATGCGGATAGGTCTCTGTGGTACAATAGTGAATAACTGCTATCAGGACTGACTGAGGGTTGGAAATGTAAAGGTAGACATTTTGTAGCAAAAGGAGGGGAGTGGTTGACTTTGCAGTCTAGGAGCAGAAGGCTCTGGGACCACCAAGGGAGAAGAGCGGAGTGCAGGACCCTACCCAGAGAAACAGTGATGCCAGAGATGGAGGCAGAGACGATGACGTGGAGAGATGGAGCAGCTGGGGACTCTAGACCCAAAGAGGGAGAGGGGCTGTGTGCTGACGACCAGGGGCAGGCTTGCAGGGTGTACCCTTTGGTTGTTTGATGATGCATGGAGGGAATTGTAACCATGGCAATGAAAAGATATACGATAGGAGGAATGTAAAGCTAATGTTCTCCCATGTAAACTATCACATAATTCACAATAAAACAAAAATGTTGGTGGGTGTCCACTGTTGGGGTCCCTGGGTATTTTGAGTGGCTCCCACCCACAGGACCTCATCTTATAGCACTATACTGACCAATGCTCTGTGGCAATGCATAGGGTTCTCAATGGCTACTTTTCAGCACTACATTGCTGCCAGGCCTTGTCTTCCTAAGCTGCCTTACTCTGGAGGCTCCGCTGAAACCTGTTCTCCATGGTGACCCTGCTGGCAGAGCTTCCAGCATCAAAGCAACACCACGTCACTGACAGTAAGACACACTGACAGGACGGGCGTGGGTAACTTCATCACTTCTCGTTCACAGTGTCAGACTGCACCACACAGAATACCCAGGACCCACACTCAGATCCTATAAAGCGGAGTCACGGGCATTCTTTCCCCACCCCCTAACACATCCAACACTTCACAGCCATAGAGCGGGTGACTAACAGCCAGTCCCCTCAACCAACTTCACAAACACTGACTCTGAAGAAGCCTCAGGGAATCTGCCTCAAAGAAAAGCTGACGCTCCTCACTGGTGTTCTCCTGGTCTGTCTACAGACGGTGTGCCCCAGAGATCGGAGAGCACGAGGACCCCCACAATCTCATCAACACACACAGTTGTAAACCTCAGCTTAGCTGTTAAATTAAATCCCACCCCTTAGGGATTTGTGGGATTTGAATTCATGAAGATTTCATTATTAGATGTAAAAACTACACACTTGCACAGGCGGCGCTGATGATAAAGAACAGAGAGAAAAAGTGCAGTTCCATGTGGATACAGACACATGTGGAGACAACACAGTGTCTCCAATGGAGTGATGTCCCTTCGGAGGTTGGCTCTCTTCGCTCTTCCTAAGGTTAACCAGTAGAGGGCAGTGATGGGTCACTGGTAGAATTCCTGCCTTACGTGCAGGAGGCCCAGGTTCTATCCGGGTCAGTGAGCCTCGTGCGCAGCCACCGTGTGTCCATGGAGGCTTGCATATTGCTGGATAGGTTTCAACAGAGCTTTCAGACTCAGTCAGAATAGGAAGAAAGAGCTGGTGACCAACCTCTGACAATCAGCCCATGAAAACCCAATGTATCACAATGGTCCAATTTGCTACCGGTCATGGGGACAGCACTTCATTCCATCGTGCATGAGACTCAGGGGCAGTCAGCAACAATGATGTCACTGATTTTGTGACTGTCCACAAAGTGAGTGACATCTGAGTAAATAACCTCTTTAAGGTCCAGGATGGCCGCAGGGGTCTCTCCTCCCAGAAATGGTCAGTTACAATGGGAGTCACGCACAACCACAATTTACCAAAACGGGACAACGGTCACTCCTTGGCTTCCACTGCAAGGCGGGTCCCTCAGGCGTCAGCTGAGACTGGTAACGCAGTGTTTGGAAGGCTTGCTGAGGAGTCTATAGACACCCCTATGGGGGGCCTTCCCATCATGGAGTGGGTTCCCTGGTCCCAGGGAGACATGGAAGGTGCTAGAATGGCTCTCAAGTATCTCCCTGCCTCTGTTCATTTTTACTTCATTATAACTTGAAAAAAACGAAGGATTTTTATGTGAATGACAAAATAATTCTTCAAAGCTATAAAAAAATTCAGAATCTTCTCAACAGGTTACATAAGGTCTAGATGAGCAACAGAGACCTTTAAGACATTAAAGCCAGAGGATGAGTCTCCTCGTAAAAAGAAATGACGTTCTAATGAATTGATGTGTGCGGGGAGAGGACCGCACACTTGTTCTCGGAAACATGAAAATAACGATCGGATTCTGAAGTGTCTCTAAATCATGACAAGTGTCTACAACTCACAGAAACAGCTAGTCTCCCTCTCTCCTTCCACAGCCAACTCTGGGTCCCAAAGCTGGAAGAGTGAAAAAGCTAACTATTTGGATTTTGAATATATGCTAAGAAGCTGTCTGAGTTTTGGAAGCCATGTAATGTAGACTGCTTATAACCCTACCAGTAAAGAGCTGGAGCTTCTCTGATAAGCAATAACAGAAATTGAGGACATCTAGAACTTTCTTTTTGTCCCCCGCAAATATTTTTTTCCCCAGGATCAGAATTAAAGTTTAAACCTGTCTATCTGAAACTGTATGGCACTAAGTACTGTTCAAGGTTCTGTGAAATTGGATCCTGAGGGGCCTCTTCCTCAGCAACATAAAGGAGCTGGAAGGATTCTCAGATGGGCTGCTTCAGCCCGACAGGTGTCCCAGGTGGAACGATTTTTCTAGGCCACAGCCAGGCAGGCACAACAGACTTTCCATCTGGGCTTCGCTCATTTAGAGAAGATGGTTTGTTCTGCACTGTTATGTTCATACAGAGAAACTGTGATTAAAAAATACAAGTATAAAAGTTCCTAATAAAATGATATCTTGGTAGCAAATTGTTGTTGTTATGTGCCGTGGAGTCGGTTCTGACTCATAACGACCCTGTACAGGGTTTCCAAGGCTGTAAATCTTTGCGGGAGTAGAACGCCTCATCTTTCTCCCGCGGAACAGCTGGTAGTTTTGAACTGCTGACCTTGCAGTTCACAGCCCGATTCATAACCACTATGCTATCAGTAGCAAATACATGGGAACCATACATCTGATGAGGGTTTCATATCTAAAATCTACAAGGCTAAGTCAAAACAGACTGCTTCTAGGGTTTCAGTGCACACATGCATGGGCTTATTCCAAACAAAACATGTTTCCGTCTCTATGACCAGTGGGTGGCTACAGACAAGCTCTCTCAGCAGTCCACTTGTCTTAGTGTCATTAGGGAGGGCACCTTCCAACCCAACCCACCGCCATCGAGTCAATGCTGATTCATAGGCTTCATAGGGTTTCCAAGGCTGTAAATCTCTATAGGAACAGAAAGTTTCCTCTTTCTCCAGTGCAGCAGCTGGGTGTTTTGAACCACTGACCTTGTGGTTAGCTACCTTTCCATTATTCCAAATAATACTCCCAAGTCTAGTAAGACCCGTGGACTTGGTTTTGTTATAGGACATGTGTTTCCTTTAAGAATGAAGTGAGTGTGAAGGCTGGGGGGCTGTGAGACTAAGGACCCTGGAAAGAAACAACCACACCATTAATACTGAGATTACTAAAGCCATGTGAAGCCTGAAACCTAGGGCCCTAAACAATACATGTCCGAAGTGCTCAATGGGGACCTGCTTTGCTGTGTACACTTCCACCAAAAACATAGAGACATGTTATTTTTTAAAAACTCCACGGAGCACAGTTCTACTTTGACATCCATGGGGTGGTCAGGAGTCGGAGCTGACACAAAGGTACTGGTACCGGTACTGGAACTGTGCTGTACGAAGCTACGGCATCTGGTGGCATGTGTAAACATGCTGAGTCACCTGATGACATGGAAGATAAGCTGGGTGCAGGACCAGGCAAAACGGGCTTACCGTTGTTGTTTGTTGGTAAGTGCTATCTAGTCGGTTCCAACTCACAGCGACTCTATGCAGGGTTTCTGAGGAGCAGCCAGTGGGTTTGAACCACCGGCCTTGCAGTTCAAACAGACCTTGTGGTTAGACCTGTGAAAATCAACTAGGACTATCTGGTAGGGTCAGCTGTGAAATAACCTGTGTGGGTTGCTAAGAGGGTGGCCACTGAATCCTAGAAGCGTTTCTGAGAGGTGGTTTCAGTTGAACTAGTTTATCCTTTAGAAGGAAATCCTTCAGTCAGCGAGAGTGGAAGCTGGCTTTTAACCACCAAGCACACCTCAGCAAGAAGCCCTCATGTGGCATTGTGGGGTAAGCACCGGAACGCAAGGTCGGTTTCAACTATGAGGTTGGAGGATCAACTGCACAGGCCACTCCTTGGAAACGCTCACAGGGTTACTATGAGTCAGAACCAGCTCAGCAGCACTTAACAACATACCTCAGTGAACCCTAACATGAGCACAGGCCCTGTCCCACGACAACACTCGGTGCTGAGAAGTCCTCCACACAGACAACCACATCTCAGAGATCTTTTGTGAAGAAAAGGTTTAGTGTAGGAAGTGGTGTGTGAAGCTCAGCCTGCCGGATTTGCTACATTCAATGAGGAGAACAAGAAGAGTCACTGACCGCTCTGGGGACCACGGGAGGGCCTGCTGTCGCTGACCGCTGCAGGAGGCTTGTCGCCCGCCTCCCTTTCACTGGACTCTTCGCTGACAGTAGAGTCGGCATCCGAGGGAGAAATTCTGCAGACACAAAACGGGTTCCACGTGAAAGAAGAGAATGAACAACCCGTCTGTCGACATTCATAGCAGCGCTCTGGCCCGAGAATCCTCCACAGAAGAACAGACAAGAAAGACTGAGAGCAAGCATGGGAGGACAACAGACACTGCTCATCCAGAAAGACAGACAAGGCTAGATAGGTGCCAGGGCACGGAAGAACCCTGGAAACAGCTGAGCAGAATCATCAGTAGGAACAGACATCACTGTCTGACCTCACTGACGGGAGAGAAGCAAAGTTATCGGGTGGGAGGGTGGTGGGAAGGGGCAGTGAGTTCACATTGACGGTGGTCGAATGGCTTGGAAAAGGTCAGCGGGAATGGTAGTACAATTTGAAGAATGTACAGGCAGATCTTGGAGAGACCGCGGCGGGTTCGGTTCCAGACTGCCACAGTAAAGCGGATATCGCTGTAAAGAGCGTGTCACGAGCTTTTCTGTTTCCCAATGCCTGTAACAGTGACGTTGACACTTACTGCAGTCTGTTAGGTGTGCAAGGGCATTATAAGAAAGTATGAAATGTTGCAAGAACGATCAACACGGGACACAGAAATGTAAGGTGACAGACAGACATGAGAAGCACAGTGTCTGCAAAGTGCGGTGAAGCAAAACAGGATAAAATGAGGTCCTCCGATGATCAAGGTCACTGAACTGTGCACACAGAGACTGTCGAGTTGGCATGTGTTTCTAATGTATATTTGTACCACAATTAAAACTGAAATTTTAATCACATTTTTTAAGAGAGAGAGAACAAAAGGAAAGAAATGATTTGGATGTGAGATCAGGCTTCCAGGAAGAATCAGTTGAGATGAAACGGCTCTTACCAGGATCCCATTAAATACCCAAGCTGCACCCCCAGGTAACTCCCAGTTTTAGAGAGAAGTCTACACTCAACAATCCTGAGGAGATTGTGTTTGAAAAGCAGGACTACCACAGGCCTCAGGTTCTACTGGTGTGGCTGGGTGCTGTTGAGTGGATTCTGACTCACAGTGACCGCACTGTGACAGAGGAGAAGGGGCCCACAGGGTTTTCTTGGCTACAATCTTTACAAATAGCACATCACCAGGTCTTTTATGTCATCATTTTTCCCATTCACTTTAGCTATTCTACGTTTAAAAGCAAGTTTCAGAGTCTCTTCTGACATGTCTCTTGTTCCTGTCTTTTTAATGACCTTTCGCCTTTCTTATGTATCATGTATTTGATGTCATCGGGTCTTCCATCATTAGTGTTCAATGTATTACATTTACTCTTTGAAAAGATCTCGAGATTTAAATGGGATAAACTCAAGGTAGTATTTTGGCTCTTGTAAATTTCTTGTAATTTTCTTCAGCTTCAACTTGAGCAATTATTGGTGTCTTCCACAGTCAGACGGGGCCTTGTCCTGATTGATTACACAGAACTTCTCCACAGATGTCTCTTCCCACCAATGTAGCTGATTTGATTCCTATGTGTTCTCTCTGGTGAGGTCCACATGCCTATTGTCATTTATGCTGTTGAGAAAGGTATTTGCAATGAAAAAGTCATTGGTCTTGAAAATTTCTATCATGTGATTTCCAGTGTAGTTTCTATCACCAGTCCTATTTTCCAGCTAACGATCCTTCCTCTTTGTTTCCAACTTTCACATCCCAATCACCAGTAATAATCAATGAATCTTGATTACATGTGTGATGAATTTCAGAATGAAGAAATTAGTAAAAATTTTCCATTTTTTCATCTTTGGCATTAGTGGTTGGTTCCTGAATTTGAATATTACTGACATTAACCGGTCTTCTTTGACATCACGTCATTTCCAACTCATAGCGACCCTGTGTAGGGGTTTCCAAGGAGCGGCCGGTGAGTTTGAACCACTGATGATGTGGTTCAGACTGACCTTGTGGTCTAGTGCTTTATCCCAAGACTCCAGGTCTTCACTGTAGGCGTATGGATGGATTCTCTCACTGACAACACAGGACAGGTCTTGAAATGTTCTCTTTGATGGTGAAAGAGACACTATTCCTCTTAAATTTGTCGTTCCCAGCATAGTAAACCATGTGATTGCCTCAAAATGGACACTACCAGTCCATTTCAGCTCACTAATGCCTATGATATTCATCTTTAAGCATTCTGTTTCACTTCTGACAATTTCCAATTTTCCTAGATTCATACCTCATACATTCATGTTCCAATCATGAATGGGTGTTTGCAGCTGTTTCTTCTCATTCTGAGGCATGCCCCATGAAGGTCCCGAAAGCTCTATTCCACCCACATCATTAAGTCTGCCTCACGCTGAGGAGGCAGCCTATATTCTGTGTGTCTTCCACCCGAGGGGCTCATCTCCCAGCACCACCACCCAGCTGTCAGTGTGTTGTGCTGGGGTGGCTTGTGCGTTGCTGTGACGCTGGAAGCTTTGCCACTGGTATTTACAATTTCTGCAGGGTCGCCCATGGTAGGCAGGTTTCAGAAGTGCTTCCAGACTAAGATAGACTAAGGATGGAGGTCTAATTCTGAAAAAAATTGTCCAGAGAAAACCTTATGACCAGCAATGAACAAAATTGTCTGGTATTGTGTGATTGTTATTGTTAAGTGTTTTCGGGTTGGTTCTGACTCATAGAGACCCATAGGGGGTTTCCCAAGAGCAGATGGTGGGTTTGAACTGCCAACCTCGTGGTTCGAAGTCCAGTGCTGATCCTACAGCACCACACCAGGAGTCCTTTAGACAGAAACTAAAGGTCTCCTGGACTTGGTGTGACTCCAAGGCTGCAGACTCGGGCACTGCTCACTGTCGGTCCTACAGACACTGGAAACGGACAAACTGAAACATGCTAGGCAAGGACAGAACCCGGACACCCGCTCCTACCTTCCTCTGTGCCGGAGGCTCTTGGAGAGGACCTTGGCCTGGGGGGTCGGCATGTCTCCATTCTCGGAGGGCGGTGTGTGGTCCTTCATGGGTCCAGGTGGGGGCACTGGCTCATGGATGATGAGTATATCATCTTTATTGTGCTGACCCAGGTGCTGTTTGGCAAAATCGAAGCCCTTCACACTAGGAATCTGCAACTAGAACACACATACATACACACAGACTGTCACTCCGAAATTTCAGGGGTGCAACTCCTGACCCCAAACTGTCCTTGCAATTCACCAGCCACTTCACCAGGGACCCCCAGAATACCTGCACTATGCCAGGGACCCTTCGCACCTAGAACTTGTGGGAAATCTTAAGTTCTTGCACCATCAAGCAAAGGTACCAGCTGCCATAGGGTCAACTTTGGCCCACGGCGACCCATGAGAGTCAGAGCAGACCTGTGCTCTGCAGGGTTTTCAATGCCGGATTCTTTGGAAGTAAACAGCCAGGTCTTTCTTCTGAGGAACGTTTAGGTGAACTGAAACCTCCAACATTTCAGTTAGCAGCCGAGAGCATTAACCATTTGTACCACACATAGAAATAAACATAGTTGTCCCACGGGGTCGCCTCGCAGGAATTCACTGACAGATCGATGCTACCCAACTGGGCCATTTTCCACTCCAGTTGAGTTCTACTCACAGCGACCTTAAAGGATGGAGTAGAGCAGCCCCCTAGGGCTTCCGAGGCTGTCATCTGTATGGAAGCGGACCAGCCCATCTCTCCCAGAGCTGCAGGTGTGTTTGAACCACCGACCTTCTAGCTAGCAGCCAAGGCTTTACTCACTGCACCATCAGGCCTCCTTTTCAACAGCAACTTTGGTGGTGGTGGTGGTGGTGGTGGTGTCTGCTCCAACTCATAACAACCCTGTTAGGGTTTCCAAGGAGCGGCTGACGGTCAGCAGTCCAGCGCTTACCCTACAGTATCATATTTCCCCACCCATGAACCCACTGACCTCTTGGTTGGCAGCTGAGCACTGAGTCACTATATTACCAGGGCGCCTTCAGCTCGAGTCTAATGAATCTAATGATTAAGACCAAACAGGTCTAAGGAGTGACTACAGACAGTCTACTCTGAGCAGAGGGTAAGGTCTGCTCTGACTTGTGCTTCCGTTCGATGCAGTGCTTGGGAGCATGGAAGGCTGAGGTGCAGTCTTTAAAGCACCCTGGTGCTGCAGCCGTTAAAGCACTGGGCGGCTAACTGAAAGGTATGCAGTTTGAACCCACCAGCCATCTGCTTCCGTAAGGATGACAATCTTGGAACTGCCAAGGGGCAGTTTTATGGAGTTCTGGTGTACAGCTGTGGGTTAAAGCACCTTTGAACCATACAGTGGATGGTTCTAATTCAGAAGTCGCTTCTTAGAAACCCTATACAGGGTCGCTCTGAGTTGGAACCAACTCAATGGCATTAACAATAACAACAACGTAGGGTCCTTATGAGTTAAAACCAACAAGAAGGCACACTGGGTCTGTGCTTTCATGGTAAGGTCTTAGCTCCTGAAATCTAGCATCGATGCAAAAAGGATTTATGCCAGCAGAGGGAGACAAAACTCACGGCAAACAGAGTTTACAAAGATGTTGCTTGGAAACGAGACAAAGACACATGCGTGCAATTTTTAAATAAATGAAAAGATCCGTGTAACCTGAGCAGGCAGCTTCACTGAGTGGACAGTCTGGGTGAATGCCCGTCCTGGTCCCCCACCAATGACAAGCCCTCCCCGCCCTCCTAGGTCCTGGCCTCAGCAGGCACCCACCCACTGCCCACTGCCATCAAGCTGACTCGGCCTCACAGCAGCCCTGTAGGACAGAGCAGACCTGCCCCCAGGACTTTCCACGGCGGTGACCCTGCCCAGAAGCCCACATTTTTCTCCCTCAGAGCAGCTGGTGGGTTCCAAGTGCCAATCTTCTGGTTAACAGGTAGCTGCACCACCTTTAGCAGCTTCCAGGGTTATTTCCCACCCATGAGTCTGTGCAGTAGGACAGTGGTCCTCGCCAGGGCTTCTCCAATCCTGGGGGTACAGGTACTTCCCTGGGAGTGGGCAGCCCTTTAGGGAGACCAAATTCCAGATGGCAGCCCTCCAAACATGCTGCTCCCACTTCTCCTGAGGACACACTGGTTGTCATCATCCAGAACAGTATGTCTCCCAGTTTACAGAAGGGGGGTCCACCTTTCACCCAGGCAGGACCAGTCTGAGGTGGAGACACCTCCAGGAGAGAGTCCAGACGATGGAAGACGCAGGGGGCTGGCTGACTCTCGAGCTAGGCACGGAGACCCTTGCCTATCTTATATGCAGTTCTTTAAGGTACTGGACTCCGATCACATACTAACCAGGGTGAAGGGAAAGGCAATATACATGGAGGTCAGCACAATGACCAGGACAAAGGGAGGACACTAGGAAATGTCCGAGAGTTACAGACAACAAAGGCAAATACAACTACATGCCCAATTCTACAGTAACAGCAACAATGAATAATCCGTGTGTGGATACACAGGGAGACATGCAAGCTGAATAGGTCTGGGAAGGCAAATAGGATGGCGTCTAGGAGTCCTGGTGGGGCGCTGTGGGTACAGCACAGGACCACAAGGTCGCCGATTCCAACTAACCAGCTTCTCCTTGGAAACCCTACACAGCGTCACAAGGAGTTGGAACCGGCTTGACAACACTTAACAACACGTAAGCACCTACATATACAGCTTTGGAAGAGGATATTTTGAAGCCAAAATAATTGCAAATCAAAATGTTGGTGCTGGTAGATTCCCTCAATCCAAGTACAATAGACTGGCGGTAAATTGTCTTCCTTTCCATCTCTGCTATGGACTTCTTTACATGTGGTGGTTCAAACCCACCCAGTGGCTCTGCCAGGGAAAGGCATAGCAGTCCACTCCTATCAAAATCATAGCCTAGCAAACCTATGGCGCAATTCTACTCTGTCCTGGTGGGTGCTGAGCTGGAACGGACCTAACAGCGCCTAACAGTACCTAACAGCGCCTAACCGCGCCTAACCGCGCCTAACAGTACCTAATACCAACAATACAGGCCAAGAAACAGGAGAGCTGGACCAGTGTTGGGTTGACGGGAATTCAGATGGTCCTTGGGGCAGGGGGCAGCGGGGCAATGTTTCATCTTCACTTTCAGGCCCATTTCTTCACAAAGCATCACTCAAGTGCTATCACACCTCCAACCCCTCCTGCAGAGGGGGCATCAATCAATGTCTTATGGAAGAATCAAGAGGACTTGGGGTCTTTGACCTTCACACTATTGTTATTAAAGTGCCATCGAGTGGGTTCTGACCCATGGCGACCCTGTATAGGGTTTCCAAGGCGTGGCAGGTGGGTTTGAACTGCCGACCTTACAGTTCAAACTGACCTTGAGGTCCAATACATTGTCCTGCAGCAGCACTGGGGCCCAGTTATTCCTGAAGGGCAGTTCTTCTGGTCCTTCCATCTCTCAGGAGGGACAGGCCACTCGGTCTAGGCCTCACTGAAATAAGCAGTGGACAAGCCGGGGAGACCTGATGGAGCAGGTCATCCAGGTAACAAGAGAGAGGCCTGATGAATGTTAAGGCCCATAGGCCAGTCTGTTGACAATAAAAGCCACACATAGTCTCCCACACAAGCGATGGTTCCTAGGTCGGTGGGGTTTGTGATACCCAGCACATCTGCAGGTAAGGTGGCAGAGGTCATCTTGCCAGGCACCCTTGTTGCCGTCAAGTTGGTTCCAACTCATAGCAACCTTGTACAGGGTTTCTGAGGAGTGGCTGGTAAGCTTGAACCACTGACCTTGCTGTTCAAACTGACCTTGCAGTCCAGTGCATTAACCCACAACGCCACACAGGAGTACTAAAACCCAAACCAAACTACTGGTTTGAGTCAATTCCAACTCATAGCAACCCTGTATAGAGCTTCCCAGGCTGTATGCCTTTACGGGAGCAGACAGCCTCGTTTATTCCCTCGGAGTGGCTGACCTTGCAGCTAGCATCCTAACCCACAATGCCACCAAGGCTCCTGAGACACTTCTGCTTAAACTGAATGAAGACCATCTTTTCATGTTGCGAATACATGACAGAGTGATTTGGTGTTGACTGTACTTCGGAGGTGCCCTCGGGGTTTTCAGGAGCCAGTCCCTGTTGGGCAGTAGCCTCCTCACAGACCCTTTTCTGTCAACACAGGGTGGTTCACATCCATGTACTGCACAAAATCCTCATAGCAGCTGATGAAAAGAGCAACTCCAAAGGCAGAAGTTCCACGTAAAGCCCTTTCCATTTGGGTTGGCATAGAATTCACCCCTGACCTGGTGTGGTGTGTAGGTACTATAAGAACTGGACCACAAGGTCAGTTTGAACTGCACGGTCAGTGGTTCAAACTCACCAGCTGCTCCTTGTAAACCCTATACAAGAATCTACTACACAGCAATTAATAACAATAACTAACTAAAAGTTGGTAATTCTGATCCATCCAGTGGCACTAGGAATAAAGGCCCGGCAATCTGCTCCTGTACAGACTTTTTTTAAAAAGCACCCACTGCCATTGAGTCCATTCTGACTCAGAGTGAGCCTGTAGGACAGAGTAGAACTGTCCCATTGGGTTTCTAAGACTAAGTCTTGACGGGAGCAGGCAGCCTCCTTTTTCTTCCATGGAATGGCTGGTGGGTTTGAACCACTAGCCTTGTGGCTAGCAGCCCCACATGTAACCCACTGCACCACCAGGCCTCTGTGTAACTACTACAGCCTAGAAAACTCTATGGAGCACAGTTCTAGTAACGTATGGGGTTGCCAGGAGTTGAAATCAACTCGCTGGCAATAGGCTGTCTTGTTTTGTTTTGTTTTATGGGAAGAAGAAAAACGGAAGGAGTAAGCTTATGGGATTGTCCTGGTTTGAACCCAAGAGTTGCTGCCCTGGGCGTGCTCACCGAAGTTAACTGACAACGTATGGGTTTCCCCAAGGAGTGTTTATGTTGGGAAATATGAAACGTAAGAGACCAAAATAGAACCTTCTGTGCTTGGTTAAATCTTCCTGAAACAAAATTCCTTCTCCAGAACAAAAACATTTCCAAAGCCATTGTTGTTGTGATCACAATGAAATTCATGTTCTGAATCACTGAGTTCCTGGGAGACTCCTTTCTATGCTACTCACTAGTGTGACGGCAGACCACGTAAATCAGTGGGAAGTGAGCCCAGTAACACAAGTCATAGGAAGGCACAAATAGACTTGATAAAGTATAAGCTGCAATTTAATCAAGATGTTGCTTTTTTTGTTGTTAATTCATAAGAACAAACAATATCTTCATATTACAGCAATTAAAAAATGAGACTTAATCTTTGTATTTCACAGGTGTATAGGTTTATAATTTGCAGAATTTTCATATTAAGACAAGTGTCGTTGTTGTTAAGTGCCATGGAGTAGGTTCTGACAGAGCAACCCTGTATAGGGTTTCTGAAAAGCAACTGGTGAGTTTGAACCACCAACCTTGCAGTTCAAACTGACCTCACAATCCAGAGTTTTATCCTACAGCACCACACCAGAATTTTTCATACTAAGGTAATTGTTGTTGTTGTTGTGTGCAGTGGAGTCGGTTCCGACTCATAGCGACCCTGTACAGGGTTTCCGTGGCGGTAAATCTTTATGGGAGCAGAAAGCCTCATCTTTCTCCCATGGAACAGCTGGTAGTTTGGAACTACTAACCTTGCAGCTCGTAGCCCGATTCCTAACCACTATGCTACCAGAGCTCCTTACCAAGATAGAGACAAGTTACTAAAATTAAAAGATTACCAGGGTAGTCCTTTATCCCTTGTTGTTTTGTCTCCTTTGTTTTGTTGTTGTTGTTTTGTTTCGTTTTTATTTTTAATCAAATATTTACAGGAAAGTGAATCTTCTAAGTGTGTAAAACCCACAAAGGGCTATTGTTACGAACTACCATTGAATCTGTCCAGACACAATGGAACTCGTGGTCAGTGGCTAATGGGTAAGTGGACTTCCAATATGGCAGGCGGACAGTAAGGGAGCCGAAAACAGAAACACAGAGCTGCAAAAACCTCCCTGCTTCCTGGTTTCTAATACTTCAGGGCAGTGCACACAGTGAGCTCTCCCGGTGATTGACCAAAAGGTTGGAGGTTCAAGTCCACCCAGAGGCACCTGGGAAGAAACGCCTGCTGATCTACCTCCAAAACGCAGCTACTGAAAACCCGATGGAGCGCAGTTCTACTCTGGCACACATTGGGGGGAGGGGGGCGGGCATGAATGAGCTTAATAGCGACAGTTTTTTGGGGATTTTCAGGAAAACAAATCAGAGCTCATACACACACTAGACACAATCTCCCAATCAACCCTCACAAAATAACATCGCAACAGAACCCAGAACTCACATACACAGCTAACGCTTTAGACAACCTCATGCTCTTGGAATATGAAGCCCTGGTGATGCTGTAGGTCAAGCACTGGACTGCTAACCATAAAGTCAGAGGTTCAAACCCACCAGCCTCTCCACAGGAGAAAGATGAAGCTGTGTGCTCCCGTAAAGATTTATTACCGTCTGGGAAGGCCTACGTAGGGTCACTATGAGACAATCCACTAAACAACAGTAGATTCAGGTGTGCTTTTGGGGCTCCTATGAGGCTTTCTACTCCCGTAAAGATTTACAGCCTCAGAAACCCTGTACAGGGTCGCTATGAGTCGGGACCGACTCCACGGCACATAACCACCACCACCAGGACACATTTAACACTACAGCATAACTAGGTTTCAGTATTCAGACACGAAATCAAAGGGGCTCTAACATTAACGCCAAAAGCTTCCCTAACACCCTGTCCCCTGTCCTTCAGCACCAAGAGCCCCCGTCCCTGCCCCATCAGATCACGTGCAAGAGAGCCCTGGGGTTTCCGCCTCTTACCTTCTGGCGCTGCTGGATGTTGGCCACAGTGTCGGGCTGGAAGTCCAGCTTGTCGGTGCGGCAGAGTTTCCAGTAGAGGATACCCACAATCACCATGACCACCAGCACGGGGATGACCACGCCCACAATGACCCAGAGGTTGTGGCTCTGGGCCTCGGGGGACGGCCGCTTCACCCTGTCCACAGCTGCAGGCAAGAAAAAAGGGCTTCCACAAGTCCTTCTTGATTCAAAACCCTATTCAGCCAGTACTCACCGAGCCCTACCGCGTGCCCGGAGTCTTCAGTCCACGTCCGCCTGAGCTAATTTTGTCAAGCTTTATTTTACTTGTAGGAAGGTGGCCACTTCTTTTAGACTTTCAAATGTATTGCTACGGTGTGTTCTCATCTTTGTGGTGAAATACATGCAAGGGGCTTCAAAGAGTTTGTGGGAAAATTCCACTTGCATAACAAAAGATTTGCCATTTCAACCATTTGTGTGTGTGTTTCAGATATCTATATATAGCTATCATCCAAAAAAACCCGATTACTGTCAATTCTGATTCATAACAACTCCACAGTGCAGGGCAGAACTAACTGTTCCTAGAGCTTCAGACCCGATCAGTCTTTCCTGGAGCAGACAGCCTCGTTGTTCTCCCCCAGAGCTGCTGATGGGCTCCCAGTGTGGAACCTGCTACCCACAAGGCCATGTGTTGGTGTGCACACACATAGGTAATAGAGACAGAGGTTGCTATCATAAGGTGCTACTGAGTCGGTTCCAATTCACAACAATCCTGTATAGGGTTTCCAAGGAGCAACTGGTGGGTTCGAACCTTGGGATTTACCCTCCAGTACCACACCAAGACTCCATATAGAAATATACAGACATACGGGAGTGTGGTGGCTCTGTAGGATAAGCACTGGACTGCTAACCTCAAGGACAGCAATTTGAGATCACCAGCCATTCTGAGAGAGAAAAATGAGGCTTTCTGCTCCCGCGGAGATTTACAGCCTTGGAAACCCTATACAGAGTGGCTGATAATCAGAATCAACTCAACAGCACTCATCAACAACACATATATATCTATAAGTATATACATATACACACACACACACACACAAGGGGGTTTCAAACAGTTTATGGAAAAATGGAATTAAAAGATCATGGACTTAAGTGTACAAACATATACATACATACATACGTTACAAACCTATATAAGTCCTGGTATGGTGCTGTAGGATCAGCAGTGGATAGCTAACCACAAGGTTGGTGGTTCAAACCCACCAGCAGCTCCTTGGAAACCCTGTAAAGGGTCGCTATGAGTCAGGACTGGGAGTCCTGGTGTGGCACTGGGGGATACTGCACTGGACCGCAAGATCATCTGAATTCCAAGGCTGGTGGTACAAACTCACCATTCCCTTCTCGGAAACCCTATACAAGGTCACGAACCAACTAGACAGCACTTGACAACAACAGCAATGTGTATATGAGGAACTACAAAAAGTTTGTGGGAAATGGAATAGAAAGATAATGAAAGTTTTATTGTGATTTGGGTGAAGGTTAAAAGAGCAAATTGGTTTTCCATTCAAGAATCCAAACACGTTTTCTTTTGAGGCACTGACTGCACTGACCAGCATGCTCCCTACTTTTCCATCATTTTTAAACAAACAATTCAGTGACGTTATCCGTGTACACCCACCACTATTATCCATCCCCAAATTACTTCCTTACCCTTAATGAAAGTTCAGCGCCCCGTAAGCAACAAGTGTCCTTTCCCCTCCCTCCTGCCCCTGGTTGTTGTTGTTGTTAGGTGCCATGGAGTCGGTACCGACTCATAAGCAACCCTATGCACAACAGAACAAAACACTGCCCGATCCTGGGCCAACCTCACAATTGTTGTCATGCTTGAGCCCATTGATGTTACCACTTTGCCAATCCATCTCGCTGGGCGTCTTCCTCTTTTTCTCTGACCCTCCACCTTACCAAACATGATAACCTTCTCCAGCGATATGTCCGAAGTATGAGAGATGAAGTCTGGCCATCTTGGCCTCCAAGGAGCACTCTGGCTGCACTTCTTCCAACACAGATCTGTTGGTTCTTTTGGCAGCCCATGGCACTTCCAATATTCTCCTCCAACACCATAACTCAAAAGCATCAATTCTTCTGCCCCTGGTAACCACCAGTAAACGTGGGTCTCTAGGCTGTCTATTCCCGATCCCTCAGAGCAGTGGGATCATTCAATATTTGCCCTTCTGTCTGACTTACTTCACTCAGCACTATGCCAACAATACCTTCCTAACTCATCTACTGACTGACTTTCTGTGGAAAATCCCCGTCATCTCAGCTCAGGATGACTGGTTAACTCTGCCTCATGTTGAATCCAGGCCTCAACACATCATCCTTTTGAATTTCTCACCCACTGTGTTTGTCCCTCACAGGACCTAGTACTCCGCCTCAAAGGTTCCTGTCACAAAGCTCCCTAAACCAAAAAGTTTCCCATTCTTCAAGGCTACTCTCTGGTAGCGTAGTGGTTACGAATCGGGCTGTGAACCTTAAAGTCAGCGGTTCGAAACTACCAGCCGCTCCGCGGGAGAAAGATAAGGCTTTCTACTCCCGTAAAGATTTACACCCTCGGAAACCCTGTACAGGGTCGCTATGGGTCGGAACCGACTCGACGGCACTTAACAACAACAACAACAACTCTCTAACATACCAAATGCTCCCTCTTTTGACTTCTTTTGTACTCGTAGTCTTTACCTTGCAAACGGTACCTTACTAGTTTTGAAAAATCTATTTTGTTACATGAATTTATCATCTCAACATGCTCCATGGCTTTGCTCATGAACAATGCCAGTGATCTAAGTCTTGTCTTTTCCAGGGCATCTTAATCCCATGGGCAGGACTGTCTCACACTCATCTCCTATGATGGTCACTCCCAGAAGAAGCTCAGAGTACTCCTATTAAGGGAGGATGGCGAGACTTGTCTCACATACTTTGGACTTGTCATCCAGAGAAACCAGTGTCTGGAATAAGGCATCATGCTAGAGAGGGGAGGGGTCATCATAAAAGAGGAAGACCCTCAAGAAAATAGACGGACACAGTGGCTGCAATGATGAGCTCAGATACAGTAACCTTATTTCCCTTCATCCTTCGTCCTTACTGCATTCTGCATTCTGAGCTTTGTTGGAGGGCAAACACTGCCCTTTTGGTCTTGTACAGTTGATTATAAAGAGTTTCCTAACATTCTCTGATACTGAATGCCTTCTGAACATTGACTTATCTCTATCTCTGGGAGGAGGGTTCACTGTGTTTTAAAACCAGGACTGCTCTCTGGATCTCAGAGAAAAAAAAATTTTCCACTAAAATAGCAGTTTGACCCAACACACAGACCCTGATCAAGAGGAGGGGAATCAGGGAACAGAATTTCAAATCCATATGAAAACCAAACTTACTGGATCCATTAGGGAAACCACCAAGTCTAATGCCCAGAAATAATTTTCAAACATTGACCCAGAACTATCCTAAGAAGCCATCACTAAATTAAACAATTTTAGCCAAGTGATACAGAACGCTTGCCTTGAGCACAGTGTCCTTGTAAATTATCTCTGTGAGCATACACTGACATCAGTTGACATAACGCTCAGATGAGCACTTTCAGGGGCAGAGAGCCAGCAGTTATGCGGCAGAAACTGTGGCTAGGGATGGTGAGCAGGGACCCACATGAAGAAGGTAACCGATGGCACTCTCATGGAGACACTGGGAATGTGTGCATGTTTTGTTGTATATATTGTCACCCTAAATACATATACTTTTTAAAATTGCAGTATGGCTACACCCTCGGAAACCTTGTACAGGGTAGCTATGGGTCGGAACCGACTCGACGGCACTTAACAACCACCACAACATGGCTCACAAAAGTATATTTGAAGAAATACCCTCTTCTATGCCTGCCTGCCTCTTAATTCGAAATCCTCTAAAACCTAAGTCAGAGAAGAAGGCACTAAGAAAGCCCACTGGCGGAGATGCAGGGGGGCAGGAATCATGTACCTTCCAACAATAATAAAGAAATACCAAAGCAATTCTTTGTGAATTGGGAGGCAATGTGAGGAAGGGGTGGGGAGAGGGGTTGGTCAGGTGAGGACCAAGGACTCCTTGTGCTAAGAGACCTCAGAGGAGCCAATGAGCCCAGTTTCCTGCATGACTCACCGCCCCCACGGACATTCCAAATAGGACACACTGGAGTTTGGGGTAAATACAAACATGTCATTGTACGTAAAACAAATTCTAAATAGACAAGTAGTATAGGAGCAGGGGGAAGATACTAAAGTGAATTTAAAACAACAACAAAAAGTTACTGTTGAGTCGACCCTGGGTATCAGCGTAGGATGGTGCTCCAGCGGGGTTTCAATGGCTAATTTTTCAGAATTCAATTGCCAGGTCTTTCTTCTGAGGTACTTCTAGGTACTCCAGAACTTGCAACCTTTCACTGAGCAGTGGAACCTATTAATCATGTGTACTACCCAGGGATTCCAAACCAGTTGCAAATCAGTGGACACCGACTCATGGTGACCCTGTAGGGATATCAGATTAGGGCTGGGCTCCATACGGTTCTCAAGGGCTGGGTGTTTTGTTGTTGTTTATTTTTAAAGTAGACTGCCAGGTCTTTCTTCTGAAAGGTATCATGGGGTGGACTTAAAGTACCAACCTCCCAGTTGGCAGCCAGGAGCAGCCACCATTTACAGCCCCCAAGGACTCCCAAGAGTGGACAAACAGTGGACTGGGCAAGAGTCACAGTTCTGTGTCAGCCCGGCGGGTGCAGGGTTCTCAGTAGTCTGGTAGTTATGATGTACTAATGCCCCTGTAATGGTTAGGGCTTTGTGTCAACATGACTAGGCCAGGATTTCCAAAGGCTTAGCAGTTGGGATGTGCTTATTCCCATGGTGATGAAACCTAATACAGGCAGACTTAGCTCTCCCTACAATAAGGAGCTAAGAGCAGTCAATCAATTGAAGGAATGCTTCCTTGGGGATGTGGCCTGTTCCCAATATAATGGACATGCGGGAGGGACTCTCTCTCTTCTGCTGAGAACCTGGGACTCTGTAATTGTAAGCCATTTTCTTGATAATAAACCTCTCTCTCTCCATACATAC